ATTAGCCTACTTGAAAAAAATATACAATACAAATATCTTTAGGCTGAGAAGAGAGTTCTGAGCAGCAACTTAGTGACTGTTTTATGGTTTGATTTAATTACTTAAGAATTGTTTGGACCAAAGATGCTGAGTATATGAGGTAAAAACAAAGCAGCTGAAGATGTATTTACACAATAACAGCCTACTGACCTTAGCACAACTTACACTCACTGGCCACTTTATTAGGTACACCTGTACAATTGTATGCAATTCAGCGCAACACTTCTGACTTAACATCCATGTTAATGAAGCTCAGAATGTTTCACTTTTTGGTGAAATTGTCATAAATACATATATATTTAGTTATACATTTATTATTGAGGTCATACTTAAAGGTGGTGTTGTACTGGACTACATTATATTTGGAGATGTTCCTAATATTAGAGGGAAGCTGTGCTGAATGGGTAGTCATGACACTAAACCTAATGTGTGGAAGGATTTTGAATTCAACACCACAGATCAAAAACATTATGGATAAACATAAGGCTGTTTAGTGTCTAAAAAAAAGTTTACAACTTTCTCTCAGGTGAGGAAGCGGAGGCAGAGTTATCAACCGTATCAGTTCTACAAGGTACTTTAGGACTCAGCTATGTTGGCTGTGTCTAGGGATAGGTTGCAAAAGCCGGTTCTATTTTGGATCCAGTTTCAGTTTGGTGAAACATCCAGGTTCATAAAGCTCAATGGCCAAAAGAATCCCTTATCAAACCTGTCATTCATGTTCTCTGAGAAGGACCAGTGCTCAGCCCCATCCTACTACTGGTGTTAGTGGGATGCATCAGTTCTCTAGCAGAGCAACAACCAGGTCACCTTTAGGTAACACTAAGGTCACAGAGCAGCAAAATATCAGCGATTTATTTAACTGATACTCACAGAATGATAAAGTAGAGCTAATATTTTCACTGTTGTGCTTTTACAGCTTCTGCAGCACAGTCTCCCATTGAAGAACAAATACACCACAAGGAAACACAAGTGAGGACGAGGTTAATGAAAGTCAAAGAGCAATGACAAAATCAACTGCAACCCATCAGTTCAGCAGAATGTCCATGGTTTAGTTTGATAGTTCAATCCTGTAATTTCTATTAGTGTCAGACTGTCTGGTAAATGGTCTCTAATCACAATTAAAATGACCAGTTGGGGTTAGAAAAAGCTAGATTTATAAATTTTACATTGTATGTTACACAAAATATTTTATAGTTGTTTAGCTGCTGTAGTGTGTGAAATAAAAACACCTTCAAGTAGCACACTTCTTAGGCATCTTTGAGTCCCTTGAAAAGTGCTATATACATAAATGTACAGTATTATTATAACTATTATTAATCAGGTTCAATAAGGGATTTGAAAGGATTCAGTTTCGATAAGTGGATTAGGAACTGGATTCATATGCATTAAAATGTTATCAAACCTAATCCCTAACTGTGTTTGACTTTAAAAAAAAAGTGGCAGCCCTACTATGTTATTAAAATCATCACATGAAATGTCATCTTAAAGCTATAGTATGTACCTTAAGACAGCACTAGCATGAAAGTCCATATCAATCCACTGTGCTCCACCCAGCACTCCCTACCCCACACAGTGGACAACACTGTGCTCCACCCAGCACTCCCTACCCCACACAGTGGACAAATATCAATCCACTGTGCTCCACCCAGCACTCCCTACCCCACACAGTGGATAACACTGTGCTCCACTACGCTCTGCCCAGCTCTTCAGATATTTATCGTTATGAAATCACAAGAAATGAGAATGCAACGAAACGTACTGATCAAGCAGAAATAACTGAAATTCTCTGTTTGGTTACGTACTGATCCTGCTAAGAACATTTTAGAAGCCAACATCTCTGCACTGCTGCCAGTGCTGTTCACTGAGTCTGGGCCACAGGAGGCTTCAACAGCACCTCTCCACATTAAGCAGATTTTTACAACTAAAATATTTGATAAAAGTTAGATACTGTAGATCTGAATACCAAAAATGAATAAACTAATAAGACTGAACTCTTTAAGTCCTTTCACACTATATGTGACACATGAAAAAATACTGTAGGTACAGCAGACTTGGATCATTGCTGCTCAGTTAACCAAACATTCAGGGTTTATGCGCTGTGAAACAGCAGTCCTAAGTAATGAACGACCTTACCATGTTACTAAATATTGTCATGTTACTGTGATACAGATAATCGTCTGGCTCTCAAAGATTCTGCACCAGGTTGTTTTACGAAGACCAGCCTAAACTAACATCCATCTCAGAACACTCCATTTTCCCTAGCTTATCTCATGTGAAAATCAAGTGTACACATGTGTGTTGAGTGTGCAGAATGAATGCTGAATTGCTGAAATGTTTTGTGTTAAAGCAGCATAAGAAATGTGGATATCCATAAACCCAAAATGTTTCCTCACAACTCCTGAATGTAAACCCCACACCAACTGCCCAAGCTCATCGATATGCAGCATGAACCAACATAGGAAATGTTAAACTATCAATAAACGTCAAAATGTGATTGCATTACTTAGGCCACAACGCCACTGATAATTCAAGTAGAAAATAAACAAGACTGCTCCTCTAACTTCAACCACAATCCAAACCTCAAAACCAACATCAACCAGCGCATGACAACAAAGAGGGAGTATAACCCACAGTGGAAGACAGCAAAAGCCCAGCTTCTCTGGGTATGTGAGAGCAAATTAAGTTTAAATGACTTCAGTCTTCTTCCACCTTCCTTGTGAAACAACCCATACTCCTACCTAAGCTGGTAATGGATTCTCTTATCTCTTTGTAACTCTCTCCACCCCATCCTCCTGCTTCCCTTTCAGTGCTTTGGGGGAGCTGGGAGAGCTGCTGAGGGAAGGGAAAAAGGGTGTTATTCACAGGCAACATGAGGCACAGCAACACCAAAGCACAGCATGTGCTTCAGAAATAAGAACACAAACAGGACAAGAAAATACATTAGCAGAAGATTTACCGAGGGCTGGTATCTTGAACCTGAAATTTTTAATTCATTCGCATAGCACTACTACTATTACAAATTTGGAAAGAAACCATGTCTTTGCTCTTGGCCTTTATCCCTTCTTAGATAAAAATGCTTAGCAGCTGTGCACTTTAGAAGAACTATAACCACAGATGTTAATGGGGACTTGGTCAGTGATTGTTGATTGGCTTTTTTTCCTGAGAGGCATTTAATAAAAGCAGGTCACAGGAAACCAGCCATTAGTGTAACCTATGATAAAGACCAAATGACAGAAGGTCTTCTGGGAAAGGAAAAAAAAACTGAAGGAATTAATGGACAAATCATGACTGTATAGGCAAAATATGACATTTACCTCATAGATTTTATGGATATAAATCTAAGTAAAAAAGGACAGCATTTAGATAGAATTCACTTCACCCATGTGCAAAATTAGAAACCTTTGCTGAATTCACTCTGACTTTCTAGTCCAGTACAACACTATCTTTAACTATGACCTCAATAATAAAATTAACTGAATTTTCACATTTATGACAATTTCACCAAGCACTGGAACATTTTGAGCTTCATAAACACAGATGTTAAGGTAAAAGTGTTGCACTGAACTGCATACAGATGTAACTAATAAAGTGGCCCGTGAGTATATATAAATACAACTTTTAATATGAAATTAACTCATCAGTTATAACAGTGAGCCTCCAGCATGACCTCCAAAAAGAGTAGTAGCTCTCAAACATTTGAAACGTCACAGCAGAAAAAGCATGTTCATGATAGCTCACTGTCACTCTGTGTTGACTTACTGCGACAACAAAGTCTATATGCCTTTTGTGGAAATGATCTATTGCTATAACTGCAGTTACTGGACCTGAATGAATTTAAATTTAATTTTCTTGTCATTTAATGTTAAAACTTCAAATTTCTTTTATGGCAACATCAAATTTTTGGTATAGCTCAATTTTTAAGATTTATTTTTCAACTGCCTGGATTATAAATTCATTTTTGTCCACCAGCAGACTCTAGTTAGTAGTTCTTTCTAGTTTAGCTTTTTGATTTTAGCATATATAAAAGCACACATTTAACACTGCTAAAATACACAGATAGCAATCTTCCTATATGCTGGCTGTCAAGCCCTCTGGATATTTTGCCCATCATCATGGTGGCCTCTGCTCATGGTACAAAATAGCATGGGGAAATTATACAGTACATAAACTCATAAGCAACATGCTAACATGTTTTGATTTGCTTTTTATCTAAAGTCATTTCACTAACCCAACAATGCTTTTTTTACTGTCTGCCTGAAATGATTACACAAGCCTTTCACAGTCGTATACATAATGGCACAAATGAATGGTTATAAAAACATGTAAAAATATTCCTACATATTGCTCAAGTATTCACAGAAGGCGAATAGGCTGATAAATGCCACTTGCATAAGGGCAACAGCAGCTTACAAAAAAGTACAATGAGGACATACAACCATTCGCATCATGATTTTAGTGTTGCTGGCACCATTCTACAAAATCAACATTTGCATTTTCATCTTTGAGAAAAGACTATTGTTTTCAGTTCAGCTTAGTCTTTTGGATATCACTGACCTTAAACTAGCCATTAGTCAATAAGACTGTATTCAAATGATGATAGCGATTTGCATTAATTAGGTGACATACTTGTAATGCAGTTACTGGCTATAACAGAAGTGTCTTTTTCTAAATTAAAAAAATAAAAGTTCAACATTCTGCTAAATGTATTTTCATTTATCGCTCTAAAAACGATAAATATGTACCTTTAGTGTGCTGGGGCCTGAAATTTTAACATATTATAAAATTATATGTAGCAATAATCAGAAACTGCAGTGGACATACTCAAGTGAAATTTGACCTGTTTAATTAAGTATCAGAAATTAATTAGTCATAACAAGCATAACAACTGAAGAGCAATTCACTTTTATGACCATGTCTTTATTCCCCATTACCTGCCTCATCCTTTCACACTACATACTTACTTTAATAGCTTTGATTCCAGACTTGGTGATCTGTGTCATCTTGGCCTTGGAGATGGGTGGCTTGTACTCATTCAGTGAGTACAGCTGAAAGATGAAACGAGACAACACAAAACACCTCTGTCATACAGTGTTGCTACTAACTCACAATTCAACATGAATATTCACTCAACAACTATATTGACAAGAACCCCGCCCCCCCATGTCTGCAAGCTTTTTATTCCCCAGCAAAAAATACTTAGGGGTCAGAGCAACCAAGCTCATGAGACGATGCAGTGGGCTTGGCCTTTGGCTCAGGTTATTTGTTTTGATGCCATCATAAAAATAACACAATCAACAACAGTTTGCTGTTGTTTACTGTCATTGAGGCCAGCATGTACAGTGACTATGCCAAAAGGGATACAGACTTTAGCGTCATGTACAGTGACTATGCCAAAAGGGATAACCTACAGACTTTAGCGTGAATGCAAACAAATGGTAGTTGGGCTACTAGCTTTGAGCCCTTTTATAGCTAACCGAGCAATCTCTTGCTAACGCCATCGCAGGTCATTGAACGCAACTGTATACCAGGTAGCTAGCGCTAATTCAAAATTACATGGTAGTAACGACCCGGAAATTGGCGATTACAACGGGCGTTTTACCCTCGTGCATATTAGTTATCATTTTCCTAAGGCGGTTTTGCTAACCTGTCGCTAGCTAGCTACCTAGCTAGTTATCGTTAGCACCAGACTATGGAAAACATTTGCTCATAAACTGGTACCCTCACGCGGTGTGCGTTAAAGCATTTTATCTTCTTGTTTACAGTCGGAACAGTCTACACGAATGTGACGCATAATAACCTAACGTTATCGCTCTACTGTTATGAATAGTCAGCGGCCTAGTGTGAGACCGTCCTTCTCTCCATTTCTGCTAACTACTTGATGCTAATGTTAGCCAACTAGCTGCCGTAAATGTGAACTAGAAATTCTATTCTCTCAATGTGTTCAAATTTTCAAACAAACCTCAATGTTAAAGGCTTTGACGGCCTCCATAGTGTTGTATTTCGGCTCACAGGTGGCTGTAAATGTTTACAGATATCGCCTCAGTAACCGGTTGGAGACATGCATGCTCGACATTTGGTGAGATGGAGGAGACTGCCAATATGGCGCATACCCCTAACGGGAAATCTACTGAGAGCGGTGACCCCTAGCGTTCACTTCTACACACTACACGTTGTACCGCACGGTCCCCATTACTGCTGTTGCTGGACAAAAACTCAACAATCACCTATGACACCGACCACATGAACTAGAATTAAACCCCTAATGGAAAATGTTTGCTCTTGTGACAATAATTTACTTCCCTGTATATAAACAAGCACTGACTTTCTTACCACAGTAGAGAATTACTACAACACATCCACGTAAAACTACTCACACAGAGGTAATATTTAACTCAAACAACAAATGCAATTCAGAGGGGAAAATGCATCTTTGTGCCTGAAGTTTGGTTGGATCCTCCCAGCAGGTGTAGTCACCATGCCAGAGGCCCCTACTTGGTCTGAGAATCCTGTGGCTAGGCACGATTAGGCTACATAATGCCAAATGTCTCTATCACCATGATCTAATTATATGTAACTAGTACAGGGTGTGGTGGTGGTGGCCATTTTTTTTCCTTCTGAGAATTATGCAAATGTACATTGCTATATCTTGCCTCAACTCCACTGCACTGTATATACACCACTGATATATTTTATTTTGCCATCAATGTTTGCGGTCAAAATACTTCAAAGCATGTTTGCATTAAGGCTGGAATTCATTTTAATAAAGCTTGAAAATGTGACTGCTTATATCATGTCTTTAAATTGTATTGCAGTAACAAAATTTTGACCTTTGTCCACTTAAAAATTAATATGACATGATCATGATTTGTGAGCATTTATTCCATCAGTGTAGCCCCTTGGTGTTCATTCTGAAAAAGTCCTAATAATATGATGTAATTTCTAGGGCAAAAACATGAACAAATCATTTATAAGACAGTCACCGTAAAATACATTTTAAGGTGCATGGCACCTGTAAAAGACAAAGCAGTTAAAAATTTGTTCACTACTGGTGAAATCAAAATGGATAAACCATACTGTAAAAACAACTTTTTCAACGCCGAGAACAATGGGTCCATTGTTAGAATGTACCCCATTATTCAAATATTAAAACAAGGTATGCATACGTTCACTGAATTACAACATAAAAACAATAATTTGTAAAACTTAATCATCTTACAAATCAAACAGTCAAAGTAATACTAAGACATATTTCACATTCTAATGTGACCTGCTAATCATTAATGTCTGCACAGTCGCCATTTAGGAACAACAAACACTCTTCTTCACTGATCCTGTTGGTTGTTGAACAGCACTTAAAAGTCCAATGATGATGTAACAGTAGTATCAGTTGAAAACAGCAGTATGTGTAAAGTATACAAGTGTAAGGTTCTCTGAGTCCAGAAACAGTAAAAACAGTCATGTTATTATAAACTGGTCTCAACTACTGGAGCAGCATTGACTGATGCTGCAGCTTTTGTGGCTTCTGCTGCCACCTGGTGGTCCACTTGGACACAGATCTCCTGCACCAAGGGTGCATTGGCCTCCTTCCACACTCTGAACTTGTCTGAGGTAAGTTCTGGGTCTGACAGGACCTGCTCTATTGCCTGTAAGTCTGCTTCTTTCGACTGGGACAGAAAAAAAAGAACAAACAAAATGGAGAACATTAAATAATTGCACCAAAATCTAAAAATCTACATTCTTTTGCAATTCACATAATTTCTCCTTTTTGCTAGCTGTCCTGTAGTATAAAATCAAAAGTGGAAAATAAGCAGAAACAGAAGAAAAGCAGACTATGAAACAGAAAACATACCTTTAATGTGCTGTTGAGTGTCCTGACAAGGTGCAGTTTATCATTGACAGCCTGGTTTTTACAGCGTTTTACGAAGGACGCCCTGAATTCTCTTTTTGTGGATGGTTTACGGTCTCCCATCGGCGACAGGCTTGCTTCTTTTAGATGAATATACAGCTTCTCCATCTCATCTGAGCCTCTGGCATGATACCCTGACATCAAGAAGAGATTATATTCTATCACCATCCAGAGACAGCACAATGCTTTTGGTACCAGTGCATTTGAATGGCAAACAGATCAACCACATAGCACCAGTCACCAGTGCTTAATGGAACAGATAGGTCACAGATAAAGAAGATGCACTGCAAAATCTCACCTTCATCTTGAGCACCTAAAACGTCCTTCTGCACCTCCCCCTCCACAGCAGGGGGGCTTTCCTTATTAGAAAAGTCCTGGGGAGCTGAACACCCCAATGCCCGGGAGTCTTCCTCCTCCTCTTCCTGGGGAGGCCGGTGTGTGTGAACTTGCACCGAGCACACCACTGCTGTTTCTCCGGTGGGAGGAGATGTCTGTGAGACCAGGTCCAACCAGGACTGTCTGTGCTTGGTGAGCGAGGAGGCAGAGCTTTGCGATGTCATCGTACTGACGGGTGACGAGAGCGAACCCGTGGCTTCACTGGGCACTGCGGAGGAGTAAGGGGGAGGAAGGGTGCCCTGAAAGATGAACACAACACAGTCAGAATAATGTGCCATCAATTAAATGGGGTTTTGTTCCATTGAATATGGTCACTTCACTTGGAAGGAAATTAATCATGTGCATTTTAAAACAACAGTGCCAGCTTGACCACAGTAAACAAGCTTAAATGAACTAATCTAGTAAATTCAATATTCAGTACATGGTATATATTTATGACCGATGTTGCAGTGTTGGCTGTTTGTAGCTAGAGACGTGACTGACCTGATGTGTGCTACCAGGTAAACCAGATGCATCCACAGAGTCCCGCAGAGTCTGTTCAGAGTATGGTGGAGGGGGGATCTCTGTGCTTTCAGCCTCTTCATGGTCACTGGCTTCACTGTAACATTCTGCACAGCCATGTTTTTGTGGGGGGAGACAAATAATTATTCATTTTGAAAAACTCACACATGCTTTTATTTCTAGTCGTATTGACTATTGTAACTCCCTTTATGTAGGCGTAAATCTATCGTCCTTAGATCGTCTACAAATCGGTCCAAAATGTTTGCTGACAGTTACTCATAAATGTGAGCACATTACACTCATTCTTGCTTCACTTCATTGACTCCCAGTATAGTTTCAGATTCACTTTATAGTACTTCTTCTGCCCTGCAGACTCAAAACAGTTCTGCTCCTTCTTATATGCTCTATTTTTTACATCCTTATGTTCCCGCTAAAATTCTTAGGTCTAAAGACCAGGTGCTTCTAGCGGTCCCAAAGGTCTGACTAAAATCTAGAGGTGAGCGTGCTTGTATTTAGTTTTCTGGTCTTGACGTCACAGCGCTGCTTATGGTTTATCTGGTGTGTCTTTTTATCTTTTGTCCTTTGCAAAGCACTTTGGCCAACTTCTTGTTGATTTTAATTGTGCTTTATAAATAAACTTGATTTAAGTAACTCTAAGATAACCATCTAAGAACTGAGCTAATAATTCTCAGAACTCAAACTAAATCATTTTAAAGTCAAGTGAATGACATTTTTCAGTCAGGCTAAAAACAAGGCTTGGTTTGTGTTCAGTAACAGTGACAGAAGAGGTAGAAATCTGACTGTCATGGGTACTCACCGGTTACAGGGTTTCGTTCTGTTGGCTCATACTGAATGGAGGCTAGCCCAAGCTTATTCAGCCATCTGAGGAGCAAAGTTTTGGCTTAATACTTCTGATAAATCCATACATTTTCAAAAAACACCCACCGAGACATACACAGTGGAGCGGTTTTATGCGACTTACAAGTTCATCTCCTCGTGGCTTTCAGCAGCAAAATAAAACATCATGACTTGTGGGTGACAGGCTTTGAACGCACTGCATGAGGAAAAGTTAATGCAGAGCAGTTACAACAAGATGAGCAAAAGAACAGCATCAGTTCAGCTATGGTTATTCCACTTCACTGATTATTTTTCAGTGTTTCAACACTATACACTTCCTGTGTATAGTGTTGAAACACTATACACAGGAAGTATACACTATATTGAACTATATATATATATATAATATACAATATATTGAATTTTCAGTGTTGAAAATAATCCAGAGTAGAGAGAGTTCCATTTTAATTCCAACTACTGGTGTTGGGTGGCTGACTTACTGCTTCTTCTTGCACTCTACGGCTCTGTCAATCATGAAGTTGGTGAGGTCGATGTAGCCCTCGGCTTTTTCCGCCTGTAACATACATGATGAACAACCTATATATAAATATATAATATACAATATATTGAATTTTCAGTGTTGAAAATAATCCAGAGTAGAGAGAGTTCCATTTTAATTCCAACTACTGGTGTTGGGTGGCTGACTTACTGCTTCTTCTTGCACTCTACGGCTCTGTCAATCATGAAGTTGGTGAGGTCGATGTAGCCCTCGGCTTTTTCCGCCTGTAACATACATGATGAACAACAGTTGAGTGTTTAAACAAACTGATTTCAAACCACTTCCTGACTATGACACCTGTCGTTATATTGCAGAACGCTACTTCTTCTATTTCCCCCAGCCATGTGATGGTGATGCACAGTGGATCTAATTGAAGTCATCATGCCAGGAAGTCAAATACATAAGTTACCCATGCCACTGTTAGTGACACCGACATGTTCAGGAAACACTGTGACAGTTAGCACCGCTGTTCCTGTGACAAAGACAAGTATGACTCATCGGCAGCATCTGGTGCCTTACACTACATCTGTGACACAATAAGTGGTGCATGTGTGACATGCGAAAATACCGTATACAGTTGTAATCATTTGGAAAAAATAGCTCAAAACAACAACTACACTGTCAGGAAGTACTACAACTGAGATTACATGGAATCCGATTGCAATGGATGAAACTAGGGCTGCAGCTTTTTTGCTGGTGGTTGCAAATGAATTCCTGCAGCACTTTAAAGATACTGTATATGATTCCTTTAGATAAACATAAAATGATTCAAAATGGTAAACAAAAATGAACTAAAACACACATAGTGACACAAATTACTTCATAGATTTGATGAAAAAAAATCTTTTGTTTAGAGTTGCTGACATTTAAATATTGCTTAAACCATGTTTGAAATTATGAATATTTATCTTTAAAATGATGAGTGTGATATTCTGTGTTTTTATTACAGTCAGCAAATCCTTGAAGACTGTTGCACTGGTTGACATATACTTTTATTATAATAAACATGAGCACTCTATGCTGTAGATACTCACTAGAGCATCAAATGTGTCTATATCTGCCGCTGAAAATAGTCCCCTAAAAGTACACCATTTAGTCCTGTTTGAGTAATGTTTCCTGGAAAGATAAAATATCTACTTCACTTGAGCATGTCCTTCATCAGGGTCTGTTGAAGGACATAACCTGAAACATGTTAGTCTTATATTAAAGTTGACCTATACATTGACAGTGCTGCTCGACGTTTTATCTTTCCAGTTTATTTTTGCCTCACCTCTGCACCTTGTCAGTGGGAGAAGTGCCAGAAATTTCTGCTATGAGTAATGTTTGCTAAAAACTACAATGCCCGGCTGTTTCAAAACTGAAGATATATTTTAATGATGCATTTTTAAAGATTTACATGTATGAGTTTGTATGAACAAGCCAGCAGACAGGCTGAGGAAGCTGGAGAGGATTGACACTGACATTAATGGTGCTGATCTTTGTGTGGCACAATGAAGAATACCAGCAGAGAATGAGAGAATATGTGAATAAAAAAACAAAACAAAACATGAAACTTTACTACCATATGCTCCTTTAAAATGTATTTTTGTTGTTGTGTCTTTTATTCCCTGATTCTAAATTGGTCAAGGCACATACAAATGAAAACCATTCCATGTGACCACCTCATGAAGTTGGCTAAGATAGCACCTACAGTGTGCAAGCTGTCATCAGAGCAACATTATTTGCTTACTACAGAATTCCTTATATATTATTTCATAGTGTTGTATTAATCTTCAGTGTCGAAAATAACAAAAACAAAGTAAAGCCGCTGAATAAGAAGGTGGGGGGAGGGGGGGTGAAACTTACTTGTGAAACACATTTGAGTTGGAGAGAGCTACAGAAAGAGCAGACGGTGGACAAGTGAGAGAGAAACAAACTCAGCTTTGTCTGACACTTTTCTTTGTGTAGCTGTGTAACTCCTGGTTTATGAAACTACAATCACAGACTGTTGTTTCAGTAAGTAGTGATAGTCACCTGCTGTGAATGCCTGAGACACTGGTTAAACACGTCTACAATGTAAGGGGGTTTCCTGATGGAAGGTGGTTTAGAAAGGATACTCACCAGCTGGTTGGTGTACCAGTAGAGAGCCGTCCTCTTCAGCACAAACCAGTACTTCTTCCATTTGATCCCCAGGAAGCCTTTGCTCTCTTTCTTCCTGAACAACCAGCCCTGGTGGTCTGGTTGACCCAGCTCTTTGACCGAGATCCGCCGTCTGCTCATTGTACCATTGCCTATGCACAAAAAGCAGATCAATGCACAGAGACCTCCTCCTCCTCCTCTTTGTCCACAGAGAAGCAAAGCTTTAGTAAAGTAAAACTCACATACAGCATTAGAGCAAGCAAGAAGTCTGAAATCCTAACTTGAACAGCAAAAACATTTATACTCAAGTCAAAACAGGTCTCAGAGAGTAAACAAATGAGCCCCAAAAATAATACTGAACACGCCTACACAACATCAAGGAACAATCAATTCAGCAGTGTTATTCCACCTACCTGTTCTTGTTATGACTCAGACAGAAAAAATAATTATAAATATTCAAGTTTGCTTCTCAGAACAAGGGAACACAGCCACACCGAGCAAGAAAAGGAAAGAACCGAAGTGAAACTAGCCCAGTGGTGTTTGAAAGCCTTCTGCACACACTAATTGCCCTGCCACTTCCCACACACCCACCCACAGATGGTCCAAATTACAGTTGAGGGTGCACACAGAGACAACGTGATGAAAGCTTTATGGTGACAACGTACCTCCTCGGCTCTTCTTCTTGGATTTGTGTCTGAGGGAGACCTTAGGGAGGAGAGCAAAGGAAGACAATGTGAGGCGACAGAGAAAAAGAACGCATTAGGCAGCCTCAGACCCTACAGCTTAGGCGAAGAGGCTGTCTGGAACATCCTGTTTCTCACCTCGAGTGTCACAACCTCTTTACACACATTAATTTTCCTCTGTGAAATGATTTTTGTCTTGTGCTCTGGCTCTTTTTGCTTGTCACTCTTTTAGTTGTAAATTAACCAATGAGAAATATAAGCTATACAGCAGTGTTGCTAAATGTAACCATATCATCATTAAATAGGAAAAGCAGAAGCTGTTCCACTGGGAGAGTTGGATTTCTATTTCATTAGTAGCAACAACAAATCAAACTAAGTAAATGTCATAGATACACACACACACACACACACAAAGAAAGAAAGAGGCAGCAGCACTTACAGGGTTGTAGTCATCAGCAGCCATAGAAGGGGACACAGATATGGGGAAGGCAGCCTGTTGAGGAAAAAAAACCCCAGAAGGTACAACTTATCCACAGGAGTGTGATGGCCCTATTGATATTATTACTACACACAGATAGATGAGCTGAAAATGAGCAATGTGTTGCCCCAGAGGAAGTGAGGCCATGGACACAGCACTCAGTGTGCAAATGTGAATTGAAAGTCACAAAAAGCAGAATTTGTCCTTTTTTTGGAACCGAAAGCTGAGTCAGAAATCACGTCAATGTTCATGAACAGCAGTGACTCACAGCTTAAAACTCATAAAAGTCACCATCAGCAGATTCATTTCATTTATTATACATACAGCAAGAGAATGTCACCACAAGGCTGCAGGAGTCTAGTTATCACACCTTTAAAATGCCTTCAAGCAGCATAGAGAATATAAACCAACAGCGAAACAACCTAAATGAACATTGACACGCAGGATATTGAGAAATCCAAGTTGGCCATTATTGACCAACTTCCTCTGCATACTTAAGTTCCTTATTCGTAAGATGACAAGGCTGCCTGAGGGTGACAGAGAGAATATCACGGACCCAAACATCCAACAACTTGCCACTGTTTAAAAGTCTGTTATGATACAATGCAGCAAAAAACATCAGTGTATGATTTCACAGAAAAGCAATCTCAACCCTTCATTGCATTTCTTTGTGCAATAAAATACAGTACTTCTCAAGGGTTTTTAAAAAAATCATACAACCATTATGCCTTGTCAGATTGCATACTACCCAAGGAAAGACATGAAACTGCTGCAGGAAACAAAAGCACAGGTGGCGTCTGGTCACTGGGTCCTGAATTCAAGTCCTGCTGCAGTTGTTCACATTCAATCACTCACCACTAACTCGAGAATAGGAACAGAAGATTCATACCTGGCTTTTTAAAGCTTTACAGATTGACTGTTTTAGTCCATGCGCTTTAGCTGAGTATCCTCTGTGACTCTGCAAACCACTGCCACAGTATCAGATTCTAACTAAACATCTGTGTATCAGCAGACCTGTGTGTGTGTGTGTGTTTGTGTGTGCCTGTCCATCTTGCACAACACAAATGACTTTATTTTCCGGGTGTATGAGTTAACTGGCTGCATGATAATCACCACACAAACCACAGTACAAGCACGACTGGGAGGATGCATGTGTGTTCGGTAACTAACTTCCTGTTGGTTGGGTTTCTTGCAGATGTTAAAGGTAAAGTGTCATTTTAGCTCTGAGATTCATATGACTGCATCTACAGATTCAGATGTAGGCTATTCTTTATCTGGATTCAGCAGTAAGATGAAAAATGAACTTCAGTCTGTTCAGATGGCAGCTATCTGTGCTACCAGCCAAAGGTTTAGACACCACTTAATTCTATAGGACAGTGTGTCCACACTTTTGACTGCTAGTGTACATTTTAGGCCTGTCTGTTTTTTATTTTAATTTCTTGATTACTGCTACAAGTTAAAATAAAGAAAAAGGGGTAGAATCTACAGATAAACTAATTCTGAAAAGTAAAAATGCATTCCACAAACTTATTTAAAAAAAAAAACATAATTAACCGATACAGGTTCGTTTTAGATTTTGGAAACCCCAAACACATTTTCTTAAATATTGAATGACGCGACTTTGACCATTGGCAACACAAACTACACTTTGACATCATCAAACCCCGATTTTTAGTTTATGAAAGTGGGGAAGACTTAAAATGACTCCTAACTGTGCCCCAGATGCCAAACGCTGTCTATTCATGCTCCAGTGGCCTAGCTGAACAAAACCGGCTCCTGCCAACAAACTGCTTTGTTTCACACCATTTTAACAAAGCACATAATGTCACGGTACCTGCCACCACAACCGCAACATGCGTAATTTTGCCCGAAAGCTCCGCTCAATATCTGACCAGACCGTGAGGAGCATGCCGAGGAAAGATAAAGACGAAACCCGACGGCATTAATCACAGGCTGCTTCCAGGTGAGTTCAGGATCTCTTTGGATGTCACTTCCAAGAGGGTAACACTCCAACTGCAACTGAAGCGAGGGAATTTTTAGTGCAATCAAAATATATATTTAAAACGACTTTTGCATGTTTATTACACTACATTCAGACTAAATTTAGCTTTAAATTAATAGTTTCTATTAAGAAGTCCTTGTAGTTCGACGTCATGACCATGAGGGGGCGCTAAGTCCCTCCACAAACTTATTTATGAGGCTCCAAAATAACAGGAAAACCCAAAGTTCAGTGAACACAGAGGCGTGTTACTTAAACAACGTTTAATTAAGAAACCTACTGCTCTTACTACTTGTTATAGCTAATACCATTAAGTTAGACCTCTCCTCTTTTAAAAATGTGTTTGGGTAGTTCAAACGCATCTCTTATCACTTACCAAAATAATACATCAACATTTCAAATGCCGGACTGTGCCACTCACAAAGTAATGCATAAGGAGTGCACCTACTGAATAAGTTTAATTTCTTAGTGCTGCAAAGTATCTTCCTCTTTATTACACTTAGAGGCATTAATGAAATACACCAATGGTTTTCCTCCAAAAAAGGAGAAGAAAACAAGTGTTTCATGTTACAGAGACACTTTAGAGCTTACGGAAGCTGCGGCCTGGCTATCAACACCCTCCGCTGTCTTGGTGGGGAGCCCAGTTTGTAGTCATAACATCAGTGCTCGAGCTGTTACTGTTCAGAACTTTGGATGCTCTGGCTTTCTGTCTGTCTGCGCTGGGATAGCGGTGAACCAGCAGACACATTCCTAAGTCCTGCATTATTATAGTCTCAGTTTCATTTCTACTCACAGTGGCTTATGGAAGTATTCAGACCCCTTTACTTTTTGCATTTTTCATTTGAAATGAATGAAAATTGCCATTTTGCTCATGTCTACATCCAGTAATCCATAATGACAAGGGGAGCACGTTTTCAGAATTTTTAGAATTATTACAAAAATTGAAATCTCAAAAGCCTTACTTTACTACTTGGTAAAAGCCCCTATGACAGATTCAGGTCTTCTTAGGCAGGTCTCTACAAGCTTTACACACAGATTTGGGCAGTTTATCCCAGTCTTCCTGGCAGACCCTCTCAGGCGCCATCAGACCGGATGGTGAGCGTCTGTGAGCTGTCATGTTCAGGTCTCTCCACAGATGTTCTGTGGGGTTTAGGTCTGAGCTTTGGTTGGGCCATTCACGATCAGAGACTTATTCTGAGGCCACTCCAGTGTTGTGTTGGCTGTATGCTTCAGGTTACGGTTGTGCTGAGAGGTGAACTGTCTCCCTAGACTGAGGCCACTGCATTCTGGAGAAAGTTTCTTTCAAGGACTTCTCTGTATTTGGCTGCATTCATCCCTCCCTCAGCTCTGAGCTCTCCAAGTGGGCCTTTTACTCAAAGTGGCTTCTGTCTGGCCACTCTACCATAAAGGCCTGATTGATGGAGGTCTGTGAGATGATTGTCTTTCCAGCAGGTTCTCCCATCTCTACAGAGGACCGCTAAAGCTCTATTGGAGTGACTGTTGGGTTCTTGGTCACCTCCCTAACCAAGGCCCTTCTCACTCGGTTACTAACTTTGGTCGAATGGATAAATCTAGCAATACTTGCGTAAATGAGAGATTATTGAGTGTAGGTTATTGAGTGTAGACTAATGGGCAAAAGTGACAACTTTATCCATTCAAAATTAAATCGACAACACAGTAAAGTGTGCAAAACATGAAGGGGTCTGAATACTTCCTGAAGCCACTGTAAATAGACAGGGGCCTCTTCACTCTGTCCACTTGCTATTTTACTTTATTTTATATCATTCACATTCGCACACCATAGCTTTCTCTTTGCCTTCCCTTCCCATTTGTCACCCTACTGTTTTAATACATATCAAGTAACTTCCTTGTGCTACCTCCAGACCTCCCCTCAAAATGCCTCACCCCCTCAAACATTTCAATTAAATGTGCTGAATTAAATGAAAGATTTCAACACAATTCACTCTTCTCATTTCTGTGGTGAGAGAAAAGGCCCCAGCAAGCCACTTTAGGGTGACTTAAAGAGGAATTTCACAGAAGCTGTGTCTTGGTGGAACTGAGATAATTTTGCCTGCGACTCATGTCAAAGGCCTGAAGGATTCATGGGAATGCAGATTGGTCACACCATTGTAGTACTCAATCTCCCATCAGGAGCCATGCTGAGAACTGTCACGGCACTTAGCTAATGTCACCCCCCCCCCCCCCCCAAAAACC